ACCGGGTCATAAACCAAATCGGGTTATAAATGGAAGAAATTTTGAACCGATAAAAGGCCCAACAAAACAACCCAATCCAATATCAGATTAAAGACCAAAGAAAACCTACCCATGGAGGTGGTTTTGGTTATTTGGATTAGGCAGAACCGACCCGAACCCGAACACTACAAGTAGGGCGACAGAGACTGTGTCTAGGAATCATAACCGTCAGAAAATAATCACAAGATCAGCCAACGGAGAACTTTGAAGAAACGGAAAAAATGTCGTTGCTAAAGGGAGAGCCATTGGTCGCAAAACTAGCTGCTTTAGCCAAGTACGTCGTGCTTCCCGGATCTATGGTTGCTGCCATTGTTTACTCTCCTCCCAACTATGATTCTTCGAAGAAGGACAATTCCCCCAAATAAAAAATTTTCCCTTTTGTTTCCCTTGGTTTGTATTTTTCCCTTTTCTTTAAAATTGATCATGTTTTCGGTTATGGTTTTGCTTTTGTATACATAGTTGCTTAATTACTCCCTGGCTTCTAATTGTTGTCTGAAAATGGATCTGATTGTGATTTGATGGCAGTTGTATCGCTCTGCTTAGTTGATTACTCCATGATTTCGTTGATTTAAAGGAGAGCCATTGGTCGCAAAACTAGCTGCTTTAGCCAAGTACGTCGTGCTTCCCGGATCTATGGTTGCTGCCATTGTTTACTCTCCTCCCAACTATGATTTCGAAGAAGACAATTCCCCAAATAAAAATTTTCCCTTTGTTTCCCCTGTTTTGTATTTTTCCCTTTTCTTTAAAATTGATCATGTTTCGGTTATGGTTTTGCTTTTGTATACATAGTTGCTTATTACTCCCTGCTTCTAATTTGTCTGAAAATGGATCTGATTGTGATTTGATGGCAGTTGTATCGCTCTGCTTAGTTGATTACTCCATGATTTCGTTGATTGGATTGAATTTCCCCCATCTTTATTATTCTTGGTTTATTATAGAAGTAATCCATCTCGTTCAAAGTCTAATATGCTCATGGCAGCAGAATTTTATTTTAGACCATAATTTTATGTTAAGTACGAACTTATAAATTTTAGAAAGATGAAAATAGATTAACAATAAAAATTAAAAATTAAATACTTTAAACTATATAAGAAATTGAAATTGGTAGGGATAATCACCGGATGTGCTCTATGTACAATAACAAATGTATCCTGAGAACAAATCCTGATTTATTCTTTATGTTTTATCAACTGGGATTTTTCTGTTTCACACTGCAATTCTAATGGTTCCCTCCACCAATAGTTGGGTTGTTAACAGGCCATTGCTTTTATTTCTCTGATTGTTGTTGGTTCTAGCCGAATTTTTCGTCTCATGTAGAACTGTAAAGTTATTTCAGTGAGTTTTGAATTGCATCAAGGCTAGTTGTTTTAATTACACCAAGGCGAATTGTCGACACATTAATTTTTGCTCATTCTATGACTGTCTAGAGTTATGCTCTTTAAGTGTTGAGGGAAACATGCTGCTAATTGGATATACTCTTGGATGCTGGCTGACTATTACATGATTTTCTCGATGCAGGTATTTTTATACTCGGCCTTGCCCCATGTGGTGAGGAAGTCGCAAGCTCACGGTGTTCTTGCACGCGGCTTACAATAAGCCGCCAAGGCAATCGAAAAGCACAATGCACAGCTTTGCATTATAACCGATGATTGTGACCAACCAGATTATGTTAAGCTGGTCAAAGCGCTTTGTGCCGATCACAATGTTAAATTGCTACATGCCCTGAGTTCTAAAACTCTCGGAGAGTGGGCCGGTGTAAGTGAGATTTCATTTCTCGTTTACGTTCAAATTATTTTGAGCGGAAAATCGAAAGTAACTACCATTGTTGTGAATGTTGATTATGCTTCATCTTTGCATACAGTTATGTAAGATAGACTCCGAGGGGAAGGCACAGAAGGTTGCTGTTTGCTCCTGCGTAGTTGTGAAGGTATGCATATATACATCGAAGTACAATCTAGTTTTCTTAAAAATGTATTTGTTTCTTCGATTTAGATTGATTCAGATAATGTACAATGTATGTTCTTCCGTTAAGAGTTTGGGGATTTTATTGTTCTTTTTCCTGTAGGATTACGGTGAACAACACGGGGCAGTTGAAGTTGTTTAGCAACACAAGGATTAAGTGATCATAGGACAATTTCTTTGGTAAAATCGTAGTTATTTTTCTGGATCATCTATGATTTTTGGTAGTAAACAACGGATTAATATGCCTGAGATTTTTCTATTTTTGAAGTCGTTGCAATGCTGAACTGCTTAGTGTTTCATATGCATGCAACTATGATGCCACTGCCTTTATTTATTTATATTTCTCGATATAGTAAAACGTTCGATTGAACTTGCCATTATAAAAAAATTGGGTTTGAAATTCGATCTCGTTTTTAAAACTTGAGTTTGATTTTATTCGATCCAAGTAAGGTTGATAAATATTTATTGGATTTGTGAATTATTTTAGTAAACATGATTATTTAGTTTCTATTTTGGGCACTAAATTATTATTTTCACGGGTAAATTACGTGTTTAGTACCTAAACTAAATATTTTCGATAGTAACTAAATAAATTTGAAACTAAATAGAGGTTCTTTTTGTAACAATAACATAGTAAATTTAGCCATAAGAAAAATTTATGCCAAATTTATTTTGTCAATATTTTGTAAAATTAAAAAATTCTGAAAATTTTATTTAATCAAAATAATAATTTATAACAAATATTAATTTATCATCATAAAATTTTGTGATAAGTAATATTCTTTCACAATAACAAATTGTAACAAAATGATTTAGTCAGAATAACACGTTAAATTTAGTTTTCGTCCTAATATTTTGTCAAAATAAAAAATTGTGACATTTATTTAATCAAAATAACAATTTATAACAAATATTATTTTCTCATTATAAAAAATTGTGACAAATAATATTCTTTCACAATAACAAATTATAACAAAATTATTAAGTTATAGTAAAAGTTATAAAAAATATTTAGTGACGAAATAAAAGTAGTGAGAAAATAAATTTTGTTGTAATATGTCTTTTTGTCACAAAAACATTTTTTTTTGTTTGATATTATAATTTAACTTAATTGTGACGAAATTTACTTTTTTATGACAGAGTTTCGGATGAGGAGGTTCTGAGAAGATCATGGAGAGACAAGGTAATAAGCCTGTCCATTCTACTGGAAAATGCTAACATCTCGATGGAAGTTGAAATCGAGGATTCGGACGAAGAGGAAGAAGGCCAAGGGGATGATATTCCGACGATCAAGATCCCCCAATAATTAAAAGAAAAACTTAGGAAGCCATGAAGAAAGGCGCTTATTATCAAGATTTTGGGTAAAACGGTGGCATGCAAAACCATCGTTAGCAGAGTGACAAATTTATGGAAATTGGAAGGTGAGCTTGAATGCATCGATCTTGGCCATGGGTTTTATGCTATTAATTTTCAGAATATGGTTGATAGAACGAAGGTTCTTATGGAAGGCCCATGGAAGATATTAGATCACTATATCACAGTCTAACGACGACGTCCTAACTTTGTGGCATCAAATGCAAGTATTCCCTCTACAGCGGTCTAGATTCATATCCCTGGTCTCCCAATTGATTACTTTGAGGAAAGTTCTCTATGCAATATGAAAAGTTTGGTTGGAAAGCCTCTGAAAATTGATTTTCATACAGCCTGGTCAACAAGAGGGCGTTTTGCTAGAATATGTGTGGAAATTGATTTAAATACTCCTTTTCTGTCAAAAGTGTGCATAGGAAACAAGGTGTATAACATTGAATATGAGGGATTGCACGCTATCTGCTTCAACTGTGGTGTTGTAGCTCATAGAGCAACTGATTGTCTGGAAAATCATAATGAGCCTCCTGTTGCTAGGAAAGTCAATAGCAAATCACAGAATAAAGTTCAACAAGAAAGGCAAGAAGAAGTGAGAATAAAGGAAATTCAACAGGAAGAAGAGGAAGAGGGTAAAGATAGATGTGGACCCTGGATGCTGGTCCAAAGAAGACAACGTGGATCAAAATTTAATCCTAAGAATCAAAGAAGAAGAAACAAAGAACCAAGTAGAAACAACATATTTGCAAATCTGGAGAAACATAGCGATGAAGATTTGGACAAGGGAAAGGAAGAAAATAACCAAAGTCAAGAAAGAAACGATAACAGTAATGTCCCTGGAGGATTAACAAAAAATATGAAGTCCTCACAACGTGAAGATTGTAATAATAGAAATAGAATGAGCAACTTGGCAGGAAACTCAAGTGAAGAAAATGTTAAGGCAACAAACGGAAAATCCCAGACTCCTAATTCAAATGGGAAAAAAGACGATCAAGGAAAGATCCAAGAGAGCAAGTTTGGATGGGAAGGTAACCAAATTGCTGAATTGGAGCAAATTATAGAAAATGAGGAGATTACCGGTAAACAGGGACAGAACCTAATGGACATAGAAAATGCTCCGAATAAAGTAGATAGCCAAAATGCGTTGGAAATGGAAGCTGAACCAGTCGACCAGGAGCAAACTGATATGTTAAATGAGCATACGACCATTGAGGCAAACAATAACAATAAAAAATTCTAAATGAAGCTTATCTCTTAGAATTGTCGAGGAGTAGGGAATAACGATTTTGTTAGAAATTGTAAGGAATTGATTCGGGATGAAAACCCTTCCATCATTTGTCTTCTGGAAACTAAGGCTAAGGCAGGAGTTGGTTCTGTGCTATAGAAAAAGATGAAATTCAATACTCATTTTTAGGTTCCGGCTCAAGGCCTCCGGGGAGGGCTAATTCTCTTGTGGAACACAAATCAACATGATATTATAATTCGTCATCATACTGATCAAACTATTAATGCTGAAATCCAAGAAAATGATAAGAGGTGGTTGCTCTCCACTTTCTATGTTCAACCTCATTCGAACAAAAAAGACGAGTTTTGGGAGAACTTTTGTAATTATTCTTTGAATATAAAATCAACCGTGGATGGTGGTGGGAGATTTCAATGATTTTGCTACGATTGATGAACGTGTGGATAACAACTCTGATTGCATGGAACGCATCTTAAAGTTTCGGGAATGTTGGAGTATGTGTAATCTGATGGATGCTGGGTATGTGGGCATTAAGTTTACTTGGACTAGACACATACATGGGAGAGTTACGCTTCAGGAAAGGCTCGATCGTTTGCTTCAGAATGTGGATATGGTGGATCTCTTTCTAAATCTCAGAGTGATTACGCTGAATAGAGTATATTCGGACCACAATCTGATCCTTGTTAACACTGACTTGGGAATTCCAGTTGACAGAGAAAAACGCCCATTTAGATTTGAAGCAGCGTGGCTTACTCATGAAGAATTCAAGGCTGTCTTTAGTTTAGCATGGGATAAGAAGAAGGATTCTCTTGTCAATGCGGTGGAAGAAACAAAGAATGCCATTATTGAATGGAAGGAAAATAGGTTTGGCAACATTTTTAAACGTAAGAAAACGTTGATGAAACGTATTCAAGGTATTCAAAGACCCTCAAAGTATTTATATTCAGCTTATCTTCAAGAGTTGGAAAAGGCCCTCGAAGCTGAATACCAACTGGTGTTAAATCAAGAGGAAATTCTTTGGTTTCAAAAAGCAAGGCTGGACTGGATGTTGAAAGGTGAAAGAAATACTAAGTTTTTCCACCTTACAACAATGGTGAGGCGAAGATATAATAAAACAGTGGGCTTATACATAGGAAATGATTAGATTACTGATAAGCAAAACTCTTTGCAATCACGTATACATGTACTATAAGGAGTTGTTTGCTGGAAAAGAGTATGAACAACTCTCAACTGATTATGACAGATTCATTCCCAAATTAAGCGAAGACCATAAGACCGAATTAAGCAGAAATGCCTCTATGCATGAAGTTAGAGAAGCCTTATTCTCCATGAATGAATTAAAAGCTCCGGGACTCGATGGCATTCAACCTATTTTTTATAAACAAAACTGGAACACCGTTAAGGATACTATATGTGACTTTGTTAATACGTCTTTAGAGCTTGAAAGGATGGATGTTAAAATTTTGAAGACTTTTTTGGTGCTTATTCCGAAGAAGACTGCTGCGGACAACATTACTCAGTTTTGCCCTATAAGTTTATTGAATACGTCCTATATATTTTTTTCCAAGATCATTGTTCATCGTATGTGTCCTTTACTGCAAAGGCTAATCAGCCCATATCAGAATAGCTTTCTTAAAGGAAGAAGTACGGCGGATAATATTCTGATTGTTTAGGAAGCAGTTCGTTCCATGATGAATTTAAAAGGTAGAAAAGGTGTTGTTATAGCAAAGATAGATCTTCAGAAGGCATACAATAATGTCAGCTGGGAATTTCTTAAGAGAACTTTACAGGACTTTAATTTTTCTGATAAACTTATAAAGATCATCATTGTTCCGCTTTCACCATATCTTTTTATTCTAATCATGGAAAGACTTTCTCATATAATTTTGGAGAGGGAAGAAAGGGATTTAAGGAAATCCTTTAAGTGGTCAAGAGGAGGAGTTAAACTAAGTCATTTGTTTTTTTTGCTGACGATCTTTTATTGTTTGCAGAAGCTAAAGCTGATCAAATGAATAATATTTGAAGTTGTATACATGATTTCAGCTGAGTAGCTGGGGTTGAGGTGAACTTACAAAAATCAAAAGTTTTTATCTCCCCAAATATTAACTCAAATATGGTTAGAGACTTAAGTGACTTGTTAGGTATTTCCCTTACGGATGATTTGGGAACCTATTTGGGAGTTCCAATAATCCATAAGAGGGTAAACGCAGGAACTTATGCTCCTCTTATAGACAAAGTCATGAGGAAATTAGCGGGATGGAAAGGACGATTATTATCCATGGCTGGTAGAAGAACTCTTATCCAAGCAGTGTCAAATGCTATCCCAATCCATACAATGCAAACAGCGATGCTTCCAGTGGCTGTCAGTAAAAAGCTGGACAGTTTAAGTGCTAATTTCCTGTGGGGAGGAGACACTAAGTATGCGCATAATCATTTAGTTAGCTGGGAAAAAGTCTATCGATCAAAGAAGATGGGAGGACTTGGCCTACGTAAAACTAGAGACATGAACTATGCTCTAATGGCTAAGAATAGCTGGAAATTACTTACTAAACAAGATAATCGTTGGTGCAAAGTTTTCACAGGAAAATATCTTAAAGATAGAGAATTCCTAGAGATAGGAACAAGAGCAAATTGTTCTTCCACCTGGAGGGGTCTTCTAAGCTTGAGAAAATTACTTAAAAAAGGTTGTAAGTGGCAAATCAGGTCGGGCACACAAGTTAAATTCTGGCCAGACTAGTGGGTCGGAAAAGAACCGTTGAAGAATATATACCCTCTCATGGATAATCCTAGTAGAAATGAAGAGGTTGCTAGATACATAGATGAGGATAGATCATGGGATATCCAAGGAATTCAACATTTAATTTTTGAAGAAACTAGGAAGGAGATTCTAAAATCTCGATACCAATTCTGTCCGATCATCAGGGAGAGGGATAAGATTATTTGGGGTTTTTCTAAAGACGGGATGTTCACGTTCAACTCAGCTTGGCTTTCTTACCTGGACAAGCTTAATACAAATGAAATCAGAAACAAGAAAAGCATGACACATGATTCAAATTGTAAAGAATGTCAAAACGAAGTAAAATCTATAAACCATATCCTTCGAGGATGTCCCATAGCAAGAAGGGTCTGGGATGAGCTAAAAGCAATGCAACATGACAACCAATTCGAATCGATGGAATTTAAAAAATGGCTGAAAAGAAGCTGTCTCTCAAAGAAAGTCGGGATTGATGGATTAGAATGGGGTCCTTTATTCTTAGTAGCCATTTGAGGATTATGGAATAATAGAAACGAAAGAGTATTCAAAGAAGGGAGAGTTGAACCGTTTAAAGTGATAAATTATACAAAGCAATTCACCAATGATTTAGAAAAAGCCTGACCAGCCTCTCAGAGAAGGATGGCAAATGATCCATATTGGGTTAAATGGGAAAAACCGGCTGAGGGTAAATGGATTCTTAATACTGATGGTGTTTTTAAAGCTAATACAGGCTTACCTGCTGCAGGTGGCCTGCATCGGGATAGCAATGGCGACTGGAACTGTGGATTCATGATGCAATTGGGAAACGTGAGTAGCTAGGCTGCTGAAATCTGGGTAGCTCATCAGGGTCTAATGTTAGCAAAAAATCTGGGATTAAGAAATGTGATCCTTGAGATGGATGCGAAATGGGTGGTATATTGTTTGAAAGGTGAAAAGATGGAAGAAATATCAGATAACGAGCTAGTAAAAGACTGCATAAATATGTTAAAGGAAGGTTGGGTTGTAGAAGTCCGCCACATCTGGCGTAAAGGAGACAAAATCACCGATAAGCTGGCAAATCACGCATTGTTTCAAGAAGAAGAAATCTCTATTTTGTAGGGGCCTCTAGATGAACTCCTTGAGCTGTTGGAAGCTGACAAGAATGGCACAGGAAAGTTGAGACAATAGTCTGTTATATTACCTCTTTATGTACCAAAAAAATAAGTTAGTTATGACAAAATGTACTCGTGATGAAATAGCTAATTGATTGTGACAAATATTTTATTGTGATAAGTTAATTATAGTAACGAAATTTCATTGTTACAATTAATACTATACAATGGTAACGAACACAATTTTGTCACAATATATTTTACATGACAAGGTTGTTCTAACAAACATGAAAACAAATAAAATTGATTAGAATAAATATATCGTGACAAATTTATTACTTTTAATGGTAAATAATTTTGTTAAAACAATAAAAATTTCTTGTAGTGAATATCTAAATGTTGCGCTCACATGATCAGTGTCACGAAAATAACTCTAATATACTACATACAATCACCAAATAAGTAAGAAAAGACGTATAGACTTGAAACAATAAAATGCGTATAGAATACAATCACATCAGAGCATCGTGGAGTAGTTTGGGGTTATATAACATCACAACAACATTGGGTAGAATCTAAAGTGCTTTACCAATGTACTAAAGTGCCTTAGCACTAAACAAAAGTGCCTTAGAAATGAATTAGAGTATATCCAGTTATTTTTCATATATTTGAGATTATCGTCATATATACAAGTAATTTGGGTGCCCTTATTGTTTCTCGAGTGTCAAATAAATACATAAGTCTTATGGCATCTTATTTTATAATATTCTTATGCTTATCACACATTTAATCAATGTTTTCACTTTCACACTTATTAAGAGGTGTTAACAACCCTAAACCTAGTCTCCAACCCTTAAACTAAAATGAAGCTTCTTGCCTATTTCAGTCTGATGGTATTGATATTAAGCCCTATATTATCGATATTATTTTCACATTCAATGTTTTGGGAAAACCTATAGTATCAATACCCCAATGTGGAGTATCGATATTAAATTTGCATTTGATGTTTGGACAGTTAAACCTAGTGCTGATACTCCTATTTATAATATCAGTATTTATTCCTTTAGGATCAATACAACCCTGAGTACCAATATCAAATTTTGCTAATAGAATTTGCAACATAGCGATGGTACTAACACCATACCTTGAGTATCTATACCCTAAGAATAATATCGATACTATATGAACTGAGTATCGATACTACCCAGTCAAAAACCCCTTTTGTTGTCTATATGAAGATAATATCTATATGTTTATTCAGTATAAATACTCAAATCGAGAAATACCATATTTCATGAAAATGTCACTCCAATTTAACTCCTAAGTCACTCTAAGACCATCAAACATTATTTAAAGCTTATGAGAGTCATATATAATCATAAATAGGTTAAATTCATTCATTCATAACATAAAATACATTCAAAGTGATGTCAAAAAAATGCAATTACATATTCCTTGAACTCAAACAAAGATAACAAACACACAGAATGAATTACAAGTGGTACAGAAGAGCTAGAAATGTGTTACGTTATTCCTAAGTTGCTAGAAATCACCTTAAGCTTACCCGAGGACAAGGTTCTCCTTAATTTGCTTTTGGAGCCTTCTCTCACTTCTTTAACTCATCACAAACCAAGAAATGAGTTTCTAATTCATCTAAGAACTTAGAAGAAGCTTAAAAGCACGATTTACTGGCTCTATAAATGGGATAAAGAACTCGAGAGTCCTAAAACCCAATACCCCAAAACCCTCTATTTCACCATGGCCACCATGACCAAACCTTGAGATGGTAGACTTGAATGGAACCTCTAAGGGAGGATATTATCGTCCGTACCTTCCCATATTTGAACTAGGAATGTTGAAGAGAAAAGTTACTGCCTTTTCCCAAGCTACTAAGGAGGAATAAGAGAGAAATGAGATGAAGGAGACAAGAATGGGTTGAAAATATATAAGAAGAATAATCAGATTTTCCCCCTTATTTCCCATGGTGACATCACATAAATTGAATGAAAACCAACTTTGTAAGAACAACAAGGGTTAATTAATTCCTTAGTGACCTTCAAACTTAATTAAAAATTCTTTTTTTTATAAAAAAGCAATTGGGCTCAATCAAAACTCATACTCAACCCTACTATTTATAAAAACCTACTAATTTTATTTATAGCATGTACGAGTAAAACCAAAACAACTAACCTGAAACTCAGGGTGTTACAACTCTCTCATCCTAAGAAAAAAATTCATTCTCATAATTTACCTAAATAGAAAAAGTGTGGATATTGTAGTTTCATAACCGCATCATGC